ATGTCTCAAATATTTTAAAGTCTCATAAAATCTTGATAAAAGTTGACTTAGTAGGCTATATTAAAGATTCACTGTTTAATATGGGGCGATTGAAATACTCTGTCGAAATTATGAATATCTTCAGATCATGAAGAGCTTCAAATATTAAAAAATAAAAATGTTTAGTAATAAAAACACGTGTTCCTCGTGCGAAGACATGCGAACTTGTCGCTGAACAATATTCAACATTTAACAATAGCCAACATTTATAGAATAAGATACCAATTTTAGTATTTATCGTTAAGTTCATTCTCTCTCGCGATCGCGCCAATCTCGTTGCCTTTCTCAAGTTTCTTCTTATTCCCGTTCTTTTTTATCTGCCATGCCAAATTGCGCGAACCGGTCCACGAACAATCGAACACAAAAACGCGGACCGACGCGATATATATAAATTAACATAGTATATCACGCAGCAATATAAATTTCTTTCCACACAAGTAATAATAGCATATGTATGTATATTTCTCTCTAGAATTCTCGATCAGGAACGGATATGGGCAGCGATAATATTTATGCTCGGATCCTACTAATCAAGCAATCCCCATAACTTAATTTTTAAATATTCGTTCCTAAATATTTGTTTTTTAAATACATAACATCACAAAAATACTGCTACTCTCAACATTCTACTTTACACGTTTGTGCAAAACTAATTCTTCAATTAAGACGCTGTTTTAAGAGATTTAATTCAAATTAAAATTTTTTAATATATATCTATCATTTTTCTTATTAAAACATTATCTCATCATTTACTAAAATTTATTAAAATTACATTAAATAATTAAAATTAATTAAATTACATTAACCTATTAAAACTTAGGTTTTCGAAGATCACTAATATATGTCTATACATTTTGATAGCGATAGAAGGTTTGCCTAGAATAAGAATACTTTAATGATTTCTTTCCTCAATTTCCGTTGCTCACTAGGGGACCTAGAAATGATTAGTTTCGAATCCTAAATAATCATCATCCGCTCCTAATTTTCTACTCGAAATAATCAGCGTTTTATTGCTATCATTCTAATTGACAAAGCTTCACCAGTCTTCCACTATATATATAGACAAAAAGCGTGATCCCATTACGAACAAGCTGTGAGGGGTCGAAGTCGCTTCTTTCAATCTTCGGTTACTCGCATCGAAAATTAATAAATAATTTTTTAATCTTCTTTTTTTATTAATTTTTGTATATAATGTAAAATTTATTAAAAATTAAATGTTATTATTATCTATTGTATCTACAAGGTAACAATTAAATTAAATTTTTTATTTCAACTATCGTTGTCTATGTTAACGTTATTATGTATTATTAACAATTATGCAATTATTAATTCAGCTCAGATAATTAATTTGTGCAGATAATTTCATACTATACTATATTCGTCCGTACCTAATTTAGATTTAATTTCTCGAAAATTGTTAAGATACCAAAAAGTAATTTCACCACAGTAACGCACAAAATATACTATGCGAATAACCGAAAGTGAAAATCCGATGTTCATGTCCGTTTGAATTTTTCACTTCACGTCGGACGAGACTGGAACGAAAGTGATCGGAAACATTGACATGGTGCGTCTTTACACATAAGCAATAAATTTCTGGTATTTTTGGATTCCACCTTTCATATCCGTTAATTAGAAAAAGTAGTTATTAGTCCAATTCAAAACAATTCGTCCTTCACTTTCGCTCCATTTTTTATCACCCCTCCCACCGTTCTCACGTAAATCTTCATGGTTTGAGAAACACTGATCCAACGATGGCCCCCACCGGCTAAACACCGTGATGTTAAACTCTTAATATTGCACAACATCGATAACACCTCGAGTTCCGAAAAGGATTTCGTTTTTATCTCACAGCGATTATAGGATCGGTGAAATTTGCATGCGGCCTTTTTTTTCCACGTTTCATGACTTGTCTTCCGTTTACTACTTGTCACCTGTCTGAAGTAAGGACTTAACCGGCGACGGTGACAGCAGCAAGTGATAACATCGGTGGTATGTTAATCGGTATAGCGATCATAAACTTTAGTTAATATTAATCATGAACGTACGTGCCTTCGTTATCGGCATATCGCTCTGCGGGACAAAGAACATTCTCCGATTTGACTGTATTTTTACTACAGCTATGTGACTTTAATATTTGTATATCATAGGTATTCTAATTTCCAACGGAATATAAGAGATTATCACTATATTAAGCCATCTGTCTTTACATCGCGCTACACTACGTACGAAAATTCTATAACTTTCTTAAAAATTCTTTAGCTCTATGCACTATCTAGAGAATCTTATGTTACCGCTCAGAAAATAATTTGATGAACGGCACAAATTAACTTGGAAAAGTTGAAAGCTATGAAATCAGATTATATTCTATGTGTCTTTTGTATATCTGTCTTATCCTATTAACAGCACACTCAATTCGGAAAATGTCCCGAGTCGAAATCGATTTAATAGAATCCCGTTCTGAATTCAATGTATATGTAATCAAGAACATTTTTGCCATTGCGGCGATTACAATGATATAATAATGACAATAAAATATATGGACAATGATAATGAATATATAACGCGGTCAGGTTTCGCCGTCGCCTTTATCGACAATATGTATACGTGTAAGTAATATACTCTAGTGTCATTACATTATGCTTAGCAGATATCTCGCTCGAAGATTTATCTAAAATCCACGTGGCAACAAATAACCAAGTTCCTTAATTACTTTCATTGTTCTGGCGGTTGAACCCTCATACAAAGTCAAAAAGAGGAGAAAGGAAACCTGATTTCTGGATGCTGCGAAAGAATAAAATCGTTGCCGGACGTTCGCGTAAGATATTTATGTTACTTAATGTATAAACATTCTGGATTAATCAGGAAGTCTGTTGTTACTCCTCATTCTCATTTTACTCTTGCGCTACTACATCGAAAATTAATAATTAATAACTATTGGTCTCTGGCCGTTTTCCAAACGTATCCAAAGCATACAAACAATATTTACATTCTGCATAATCAATAAACGAATTATGTAAAAGATATCGTAAAGGCTATCGGAAAAGTTTCGGATGTACTCAAAATTCGATTTTTAAAAATTTAAAAATTATAAATAACAATTAAAAATTATATTATTTTCCACCATTTATTACTATCCACATAGTTTTAAAACAGCATTGATCTCTGGCATAGAAATAATCTCCCCCCCCCCCCCGAAAACCGCCACAGTTAAATTCAATAACTCTATCAAGTATCTTTTTGCGTGAACTAAAAATAAATCTGAAGTACAGTAGTATAGTCACGCCAAAAGGTAATTGTGACTAAACAACGTTCTCAACAAAACCGATTTTCTATTATAAGTTTCGTTTCAGCATCAATATCGACCCGAAGGGTGTTTCTGACAACGGAATTAGATCGTCACTGTCAAACGCAATCAATGCCAGCAATATTTATAATAATCACAGATAATGACTTCGTGGAAGAGATTTGCCGCCATTTCGAGGTTCGCTTAAAGTAAATCCTAACTTCTAGCTAGTGTCGTCTAGCAATTAATATAAAAAAAGAAGAAAAACGAAGAGAACGAAGAATGAATGATAAGCAGCCGAAAGAACGGTCAGTCGACTGAGGAATGGAAACACGAATTGCAATAACATTATTATTATATGAGTACATTACACGAGTAACGAGTTTGTTGCGCCGCGCGGACCAACGCCAAAACACGTGCCGCGATTGAATGATCAAACTCTCGCAAGGAAAGCCGTGCGCTTAATCAACATGATAAATGAGAGTCATAAAGAAACTTACGCGATTTCGTAGCCGAGAATCCTTTGCGAAAGGAGAATGAGCGAATAGAAGTAAGATTGCTCCAGCCGAATTAAAATTCGCTCTTAACAATTAAATACGTAACAATTAAAAATGCAACGGTCAAAGAAGAATCTTAAGATTATTTAATAATGTCTTTTGTATTGGAAGCTAATGACTTCTTTACTAAATTGAACTAACATTTTACTGAATTATTTAATGCTGATTAATAATTCCAACTGTTCTCGCTTTAATACTATTAATTATATTAATGATATTAATATTAATAATACAAATTGATACCAATATTAATAATATAATATTAAGAGAAGAGATTTAATCAGAATTAACACTAATCTCAACAATGAATGCTACAGTTAAAAGCTTCCACTTACCTTAACGACGAATTCAATCGACTGGAGTAAACTCATCCCGTCTAAAATCCACAAGCGATACGTAATATTCAAGCGACGTATAGCTTGCAACAGAGCAAACGAGTGCCGAGTTATCGGTTCGTTATCGGAACGACACGACACTTTCGGTGGCAAAATTAATTAAATGCCAGAGGGAACTATCGGAAAATTCGCGCTCCGCCATAAATCGATTCACGCTAGGCTCGATTTTCTTCCTTTGTGCACTCGAACTGTATTGAAAATATCCCGAAAGCATCTCGACGAGACGGAAGATAAAATGTAGAAAAGTAGAGATGAGGAGAGAGCCGCCCTTGACAGTGAACTGCTATCGTAGGTACTTTGATGTCTGTATATGCGTGCGTGCGTGCGTGCGGCCTGCGTGCGTGTGTGTGTGTGTGTGTGTGTGTGTATGTGCGTATTAATATGGGTATTTACGTGTGTTTTGTATCTGTATATGTATAATACGTCTATATGCATCTATGCACGTACTTCCTGGGTATGCATTTGTGTATATGTGTGTATATCTGCGCGCGCGAAGGTCCTTACGTCGATAAAATACACTATAACATTATATATGTACATTAACATGCGTAACAGAGGTCTATTCTTGGGTCTGCGGGGAGGGGGAAAGGGATCTCTGTGTGTAGAGGGCGGGGAGAAAAGTCTAGAGAAACTCGGGATCGTGTCTTGGACGTAAGCTGGAAATCGCAACGTAAGTGACAATAGATAGATAAAGATAGGTCGTCGAAAGGTCGTCTAGGTTTTAGGCTAGCTGGAGAGCAGAGTAATCCTGTAATGGTAGACGCTAGTGAACGAATACGCTGGGTCTTTGGCTTCGAGTTGCGCGGCGTCCTCTTAGGGTAATGGCACTACGACCTGCACGTAGGTCACAGGGAAGTAACCGGTGCGACCGTCCAGACTGCCCTCAAACCAATTCTCGTCGATCTTCTGGGTCAAGGTGATCGTGTCGTTTTCCTGCAAAGAAGATGAAATCGATGAATCGTTCGTGTCTGGATTAATTTTCACTTTTACAAATATGAAAATAATTAATTCTTATATATACTTTGACATGTTAAAAAAATATTTAAATAAGATTATGTATTCATAGAAAAGGATAAAAAATTATTTAATCAAGTGCTTCCAGTTTTTTTTTAAAAAAAGAAATGTACAGGATACAAATGACCCATTATATGTATTAAGAATTAAGAAAGATAGAAAAAAATTATAAAGGTTCTGTATAATTAAAGAGATTACAAACTTTATTGTAAGATATTACAATAAACAAAACATGGAATCGAGTTCATAATATACAAGATCCGGATCTTATATATTATGAATTTCACTCTTCATTTAAAATCAATCTAAAAAAAAGATTTTAAAAAATAATAGGGCATCCTTATATAACGTATTTTTCTGTAGAATATAATATATTTTTTATATAACATTCTCTATACATATTTTAAACTATATTGCTTAAATTCTTGGCGAATAATATCGTAAATTTACCTTAAATCCAAGTTCCCCAGGATTCTCGGGCTCGAAGTCGTACAGAGCTGTGCAGCACGGCGTTCTCTGTGTCATCGGCGTTCTCGCTGGTGATTTGCTCGGCGAGGGCAAGGGTGAAGCTGAAAATAGTCGGCACGAGTGTGCTAAACTACTAAAAACTTCGCTAATATGACGTAAAAAAACACGTCATAGTGTGACTGCAGGTCGCATCGCATATACGTTCACAAACTACACATTTAACAATCTGCCTTGGTAGTCGTGAACCATCTTGCGCGGAAAAATCGTGTCGCACAAAGCAGCGGTGTGTAATGTCGATTTCTTTCTAAATGCGAAAGTAAAATAACATCGCCGAAAATATTCGAGAATAAAAGTAAGCTTCTGAAATTAATATGTTTACTTGTCGATGGGAGCTGTGTGAGCTAACTAAAATTTTTACAGCAAGAAGGACAGTTATCTCAATTTCGGTAAAATATTATTGGTAAATCTAAAAACATTATAAAAAAACATGATTTTCACATGATGAAAAAATTTATTCTAGACTGAAAAAAATTATCCAGTTAAAATATGAGAAAGATTACGTTCTCATTTAAAAAAAATTGCTGCAACTTTTGGACTAAAATGTAAATCCAAATATATTATATCTGCTTTTAATTTACAATTAGTAAGATTTATAAAAATCACTATATTCCTTCTTACTCTACTAATTTGAATTTCATTCAATTTTACTTAAAATATATTCAATACAACCCTCTTCTACAGCATAGAGTGGCAAAACATTATCTAAATAAACGTGCATGGCGATCAGTCATCAGCGTCATTATACGAGAAAGCGATAGAGAATCCCATCGAAAGAAAAATGATAGAGAATTGCGCAGGATCAGTCGCACCAACAGCTTCGATTACTAATAATGATGTAAGATTCGATATCCGTTTCTGAATCATTACTAGATAGAGTGAGAAACTTTAGATAATTATCCTTATTGGCATCCTTATTGGCGCAACAGTTGGTGCAACCGCCATCGAACGATTCAAAAAGGAATTCATTTGTTTGCTGGACAGAGAGACGAGGAAACCCCCATGCAAAGTTTACCATTAGTAGATTGTGGCGGGTTTCCGGCCGGAAATAGCTCGAGCTGCGAGCGCTTCCCGTCCGCATGAATCGGAGAGCCGGCCCGACTTGCCCCTACATTGTGTCAGAAGGACAGACAGGTATGCCACATTATACACACAGCACAATCGGAAGAAAAATAGGATGTAATAGTGTGGCGAGAATGAGCGTGTGTATCGTGTGCACGTATTTTGCGCGTAATCACAAAGATTGATCCTTAAGGGATTATCCTTAAGGGAACATCCGATACACGTAATTGATAGATAGATAAAACAATGAACGTCCGCTTAGCAGATCCGAAGATTATCTTACGAGAACTAATCGAACATCGTTCCATTAACTCTTCTCAAGTAAACTTGATTTAAATTGTAATTCTTAAATCCGTGTTTTATTTTTCCCAATCTCATTTACTCGTTCATTTTAAAATGTATCGATAAATGTAAACAAATTTATGTTTTCTTTTTTTTTAATTGCAGCTCGCATCAAGTCAACAGTTCAATTAAAGTTTCCATCTCAGTTCAAATATTTAATTTATAAAAGATAATGGAAAAACAATATTTTATTTATATTGTAAAGGAATTTATTTCAGGAGATTAAAATTCAGTGACTCGTTCTGTTCAGTTTTGACAAGTGCGAAGTTTGTACACGTGCGCAAAAAAAACACAGAATATTAGACACATCTCGCCAAATATTTTACCGGAAGGCGTTCCATACAGAGAGAGACAGGAGAATGCAATATATATTAGTCAATGTAGAACGTAAATACCCCCCTGGCATGACAGAAAGAGAATAAGGAAAAAAAACAAGAAACAGTTAAACAGCCAGACCACCCGAGTGTCGTCGCGTAGTGTAGTGGAGTATTTGTGAAATGTGTTTTACCGTGAAGAGAGAAGTTCCCACCGTTCATATGGTCCGATGTCGGCAATCCACTATCCACGTGCAGATCCGCCAGTGTCTTCGGCACAAATTCCATCTTTGGTCTGTGTACGGCCTCTTCTTTCCTAAAGAGCAAAACATTTATCCGTAGACATTGTCATATCCGAGAAAATGTTACAGTCATTCAACATGTCACACAGACGCAAAAACGAATATCTTTAGCTTCTCTTATGTAAAAGATTTATTTATTAAATAAAGGTAAATAGAACTTAGAGAAAATAATATATTACAAATTGTGGAATAATATGAGAATCAGCGTGATGCGCAAGTTTATGTTTAATAAAATATATTTGAAGTTATATCACTTAATAAATCGTTCGTACATTTTGGCTCAACTTGGAGTCATTTTTAGCAAAGAAAAAATATGTGATCCTACATTAAGAAAACTGAAATGAAGTCACTCTTAGAGTTCCAAAATTAAAAGTTATATTATTTGGCACACAACTTTTTAGTTCTAAAAATCTAAAATAACTCCAAAATAATTCAAAAATCTAAAATAACTCCATTTCATAGTTCGATTGGTACGTATATAGCGTGAGGCTATATATTTTTTCTTCGCTGAAAATGATTCTAAGTTGAGCCGAAATATATGAATAATTTATTAGTAATAATAATTTCAAATATATTAAAATATTTTATTGAACATAAACTTGCGCACATCATACTGCGCTGACTCTTATTTTTCAGCTCTTTCACAATTTTTAGTATATTTATTTATCTAGTTATAAAAAGAAAGATAATAGCTGCATTTTATAAAGCAAATATTATAATTTATAGCGATATTCATAAGACAAAATAAAATAAATATAGATATATATTATTTTTAAAAATATAAGTATATTTTTAATACAAATTTTTTTTTTAAATTATGAAAATGGATTTCGTATTGATTTTTCTAACAACTTGGATACAATCAGACATACTTTTCCAAGAGTGTTTCCGTCAATCCCTTGAGGACTTCAGTGCATTGTTGATGATATTCAAGAAGAGCCTCGCTGAAAGTTGCCAATTGTGCTACTTGTTCGACCTGCAAAAGAACGTCATAAGAATCTCGACATGTGCGCATCACACAACATTTCAGACTAATGACGACAACTCACGTCGTTCGCCAGCAAATTGAACATGCCCATCTGTGCCAAATGGAGACTCTCCTCGAACTTCTCTTCAGCTTGACGAATCTCGTCGTCTGAAACGTGAGAACCTGTTCGCAAACGGTTGCCCCGCCAACGAAATTAAAAAGGTTGCACTACTGGGTTGCTTCATTTCCTAAATCTAAACACTTATAGTATAACGAATACAAAAAAGCGCAATTCGTTTTACGAGCGCGCAAGTGTATTTTGACGTCACAAAGAAGCGTGTTTAAATGTCGTGATTTTAATAAAATTATCTTTTCTAATTTGTAAAACTAGCAACAACGCATAAAGCGGCATAATAGTTTAAATTTTAGCATATTTAAAGACATCTAATAAAAATATATTTAATCTAATTAGGAAGTTTTTAGAGGATATTTAAAAATATATCTTTCAAGAATATTTGTGTGAAAAGTCCAAAAATATTTCAATTTTCGATTTTACGCAAGTTTAGGATAGTTTTTAAATTTTTTTTGGAAATTTTTCAGGAAATTTATGAACAATGAGAGTACAATATGTAATAAATTTTCAAAATTATAAGTTCCTAGGCACACAATGGAAGTCATACCAGTATATGGCGACGAGATGCCCAATCGCGCAGGACTTCCAAAATGCGGACTGACGGATCTTTTTCCAGTCGCTAATAATTAAGTGATTGCCCAATGAAAAACAGACAGAGCACACTGATTATCAGCAAAAGGCGAAAAGTAAATTCATTCGGGGCAAATAATACAAAAGAATTGCGACGGAAAACGTACGAACAAGTTCGAAAAGCATAAAAGTGAGATGTATAAAACTCACAAAAATTATTATCGAATGTAAAATTCTGTCATATAATAAAAAATATTAATACTAATTTATTTCGAGTTATACATATTTCATATTTTCTTATTAAAATATTTATTAAATCGAATTATCTATTAATTATTCTCAAATTAAAAATTCAAAGCAATTTGCGAATATTACGCTCAAGTTCTTTAAATTTTAACAGAAACTTAGATCTAACGGTTATTATTGTATTATATGTTATTCTTATCAAATATATTATATAATTAATATAGTAAATTAATATAGTATTTTAGTTATTTATTAATAGTTTAAAAATATTGCACATATTTATGTAAACGGTACACAAAGAACTCCCTTGTCAAAATACTGTATATCATTTTTTTTTGTATCTTTAATAATGGCTGTAATGCAGTAAGCGAGCTAATCATAACAGAGAAAAATAATTCTTTTGTATAAAACGCACATTAAAGAAAAGTCTTCTTCTCACGCCCTACTTTCGAGTCCACATTATAGCACTGATTCGTGATTCTATTCGATCGTGCTCATGCAACGCAGCATGCGAGTAAAAGATCTTCTTTCTATTACAAAAAAATTGTATTTGCATCTACTCATGCAACGGTTTTATTGTGATAATCCTATTCTGAGGGAGTGAATCATGTACGAAACATAATTCTATTTTCTCACACACATGCTGACAATAGAAAATAAAGCTGTTTTCGCAAAGAGCTTAAAAATAGACGTGTTATTACGTTGAAAAAGTATTATAAGTAAACAATCAAAATAGAAATTGTTTAAAAATTTTGAAAGCGTAAAACCAATATAGTCGATGTAGTCGCCAAAGTGGATCGTTTTTCAGCATAATAATAAACAATACTGAAATTAAAAGTGAGAATAACAAAATATCAGACACAAGATTAAAATTACACAGTACAAGATATAAAAAGATATTTAATATAACTCACAAAGATGAGAAAAAAACTCCAAAAACTTCTAAACTTTTATTTTTATGCATATTTTTTTTAAGTACATAGTTCCTAGAAAAAAGAATTACAAATATAAAAAGCATCGTTGCTCAAAAGTAACATTTTTCTGCGACTGCTGGCTTTTTATTACATAAAGTGACGCATCATTTTCTCTGAGTTTTCCAAAAATGATGATTTTGTAAGTACAAGTTTTTCTCCATCGAAAGAAAATAATTTCCGTCTCGATCACAGCACTTTTATCTCTTTAGCAGTGACAATTTTTGCAATTGAGACCTTTCGCTATTAGAGCCCGATAATGTCGCCTTTCGCGTTTTCTTTTATGACACCGCCGTTTCACGAAAATCATGCGGTTCTAACTTCGCTCCCCGCGTCGGAAACGCAATCGCCCAGTCTCATTACTAGCGTTATAGCTCTATCGAGGTTTTTATTTCAACTCTTCGAACCACGGGCATCGCGATGTCGATGTGTTCGTGCAAGGACACTCGCGACGACGGTTCGCTCGCGCGCAGCTGAATAAATCAATAGGAGTACGGAAACGCGAGAGGACGAGAAGCAAGGGCAACATGCGAGGAACCTCAACATACCTTTTGCTTGGCGTCTTCGCTTGCAATCGAAGTCCAGTCTACGGCCTTGCAGTTTCTTCCGATGGTGCTGAAATCAACAAATCAGAGGAGATCGAACGCGTAAAGATTGTGAAGAAACAGCGCCCAGTCGAGCGCGACTATACACAACTTTTCCAATAATCGTACCATCACTTCTTTGAGATCTTTGATCTGCAGATGGTGCAACGGTTCGAGGAAGTTTTGCTTGATGTTATCGTCCAGAGAATACTTCACGTCTGCCATCTGCTTCATAGCTTCGCCCATTTCAATGAGAGCCTGGGCTGCAAGGATTGATAAAAATGGGTAGAAAATAAGGTGAGATAATACGACCTATCGATCCTCGATATTTCTCGTTTTTTTTTAATAGTAAGAATAAACTTCGACACAAAAACACCTAACTCATGTAAAGCAATTTTTCTCAATTATCTGAAACAATTACCCGATCATATCTTATCTCTTAACAAAAATTGTTGCGTAAAAGAGAATAATTTCATGAAAAAGGAAATAAAATCTCTGAATAATATATGAAATAAAATTTCAATTTTAATACGAATAAAAAATAATGATAATCATCGCAAAAATCATTTTAAAGCACAATTCCTATTTCGAAGAATATTTAAGACAAAGAAGGGAGGATCGAATTTCTCAAGAACAACGCAATCGTCGGATTTAAATTGCATGTACCAAAAATGCTGTCTTCGCCCATTTTCTTGCCATAAGTGAGCATGCAATCGCCAAGTACACCTTCCGGCTGAGGATAAGTGGACGCCTTTGCCTGACCGCTGAGCTTGCTGATACCTTTGACTGCAGCCATCTTCGCTCTTGCTGTCGGGTTTGGTTGAAGGAACTCCTTCGTCTTCATCTGTAGCTCCTCCACAAGTTCATACGTGACGTCTGTTTTCTATAGATACATGATGTATTTATGTGAACTCTTCGTCTCTTGTCAATTTATTTCGAACGTGAAGAATTTCTTTATAAAGCTTTGGAATTTTATTCACGATATTATATACTCATCGATATTTCTATAAGTGAACATATAAAATAATAAAATAAAATAAATAATAAAATAAAATAAAATTTGTTTAAAAAGTTATTTTCAAAATAATGTCTCTGTGAGATTTAATAATAAATTTTTAGCACATAAATTTCAAAAATATTAATTTATTTTGAAAGATATGTGTTATACATTCTATCTTATATCTAAACTACTATTTTTAAAATCAGTTTTTCAATAATATAAGAATGTACACAAAGAATAGTAACCAAAGAATTAAAAGCAATTGCAAAGAAGGAATTTGCAAACACAGTTCTTGATAAAAAAATTGTATCACGTTATCTACGTTATATCAAAGTTAAAGCGAAGTATTCAAGAAAGAAGCCAACGGTAAGAAGTTTTTTCAGAACTTCGTTTTATAACACAGTCAATCTCGCAACTTCTGGCTTCAAATAAGAGCGTCATAAAAGTACTTTTAAAAAGATTGATAAGATCCTCAGGAATCAAAAAAAAACTGGGGAAAATCTTTGAAATTCAGTAATAATATCAGTAGATAGAACACGCTAGTCATCTCTTTCCTGACGTCCTCACAAAGGTATCGTGCGAAAATGTGAAAGACGTTCCTTTCACTTGAGACGTACGAAAATACACCACTCACCCTCTCCATATCCACGAAATCAACGTCGAGCTTCGTTCCCTCCGCTCCACCCATCTTCTCTGTCATGTACTGCAAGAAAAATCCGTTATCCTTAGCCTAAAATCTACATCTGAATAAATAACGCTTTACCAATAATAATATTATTCATAATTTTATTCTTAATAGAATTACCTAATAGGATGCGAAAAAAATAATACATATTTGTCAAAATCTGAATCGGTTTAATTTGGCAAAAGTTTCTCGAGCTCCTTTATTCAAGTATTTAAGTAAATACGAAAGTTTTTGATATTTTCTTGATAAGAAGAGTGTCTCTTAATTATAATAAATAATTTATGTATGATAAATAATAACAGATTGAAAATTTAATTGTTTATTGCCTGAATTGCTCCAGTCATAAAAGTAAACATTGTATTGTCAATAAAAAATAGAAGCTTTGTCTAAATATATTGAAACTTTGGAAAAAAAATATAAATCGAAAATAAATGCATAAATATATATAGAGTTTAAAAATGGAAAATTCAATAAATTAAGAATAAAAAAATGCAAAAATGTTAAAAACGTCAGATTTTAAAAATGAAGAGAATCAGAAGATTGATATGTATTTCATGTTTAACAGCCTTCACTTTAAGATCTCGGGCGAACATATTTAACGCTACCCCACGAACGAGATCGTTCCAGAAAATGTTTCTTTGAACTACATATAAACCGCATTGCGAATACGATATATTTTCGCGAATATTTATATAAATATATTGCACGAAGTCAGCTAATCGCTCGTAAATCGGGATTGTTTTGAAAAGCGACAAGAGATTTTCTCCGACAAACGAGATATTTCCGAGAGATTTCCAAAAACGAAGTCAGAATCTTCAGGTGAAAAGTATCGCGGAAAATATATATAAAGAGAGGCATTTTCTCTGTTAGCAGAACAAATGTCACCAAAAGAAACAATTGTTTCTTGGACCAATAAAAAATATCCGCAACAATATCTGTCGATTTGCCACAATATAGTGCCTGTCTTTGCCAATGGTGGAAAAAGGATACACATCCTGCCAAAGCTCACGAAAATAGGTCAAATATCTTGGCATGCGAGAACTCACAAGCACTGTAATTTCTGCTAAATAAATTTCAAGTTTTCGCTTCGAGATTACTCCGAAACTTCGATGGGTTTATCATTTGTATTACATTGGATTAACTAGTGAGGCGTGTGGTGAAATTATATATTATCGGATTTAAAACAAGAATATTACAAACCTTGCGAAAATCTTCCGAATATTTTACCAATAAATAAATTTTAATATCTAATTTTAATATTTAATATAAATAAAATTTAAACAATTATCATTATCGAAATTTGTCAATCATCGTAAAATTAAATTTTTCATGCGAAACTTCAATTTTGTATTATCTAAAAGATTATAATAAATTATAATAAATTATAATAAATTATAATAAATTATCTAAAAAATATAATATCTCATAATAAATTGTATACGATGTACAACAAAGTTTACTAAAATAAAATAATTCGATGCAATGCAAAATTTAAAGTTAAATTGCATAGACAAGATCAACATTAATTGACATTAGATTAATTATCTCCTTCTTTCCTCTTCTTGCTTCCCTCTTTCTCTACTTTTTTCTCTACTGCTTTTTCTACTTTAAAATTTCTGTAACACAAACAATGAAAGAAAGTTACAATGAAGTTAGATCTACATCTAGATATTCTCTTCTAAACCCTTTAAAAGTCCTTCTAAGTGTATTTTACGCATTTAACTCGATTTCGTCCGTATAAATTCAAGTATTTACCCGGATATCGGAAGCAGAATTGTCGATAATCGCAAGAATATCCAAATTGCAGCGTCATATTATATTTAAAAAAATCGACTTCTTTACATATATAAATAAATATAATGCGATTCATTTTTTTCTGTACAATTAATTATATGTGAAAAGAGAGTGAAGGACACGGAATAATATCGTACATTTAATAGCGCTAAGCAGCGAGCTTTGCAAGAGGGATTATTCGCAGCAGAAGGAGGGAGAAAAGAGGGATGAAGAGAGAAAGAGAGAGAGACCCTGACCCATTTAATAATGACCTATTTCCAGAGATGCACACAGAGATGTAATCGTCACTCGTACGCAGCAAATGCCATCCTGAAGTAAATTTGACCTACATCACGTCACTTGCAATGTCGCACGCTTTAGACCTACGAGTGTTTCGTCTCCGGCGATTTAAATTGCGTCTGTAATATTGTATATTATGATGGATGTCTCCATAAACGGAATAAGATCACCCTGACGTACAAATACGGAAATCATATAGAATAGAAAAATATCTTGTGACAAAAAAAAATTTTTAATTCAAATTTTTTTAGAAAAAAAAATTGTCCCCCTAAATTTGTATTGTAAAACAAATATATCGCAATAATAACACAGAAATGTCAAAATTGTTTTATCACACTTGTTAGAATTTAATTATATGTTTTGTATCTCTGTTAAAGTAAAATTTATAATAGCCCATAATTATATAATATTAATATTATAAAATAATGTAAATATATATATATATAATAAATATAGAATGATCCACATGGTAGTCATCTAACTTTCATATTCATTTAAAAAAAAAAGAGATAATACTCGAAGACAATTATTTTCCATACTTTTTTTGAAAATCGACTCTATTTGACACCAGTTTCCTAATAACTTCCACAATAATAATAACAAATAATATAAAAATAAAATTGGAAAAGCATTATCGATGAGATTGAAACTCTGAAGGAGCGATATTTATATCCGATTCATAACTTTTGCAATGAACGGAACGTAAAACTCGATTGATTTTGAGTAAGATCTAAATTTTAACGCCACAGGTTCAGCCATGTATATCGCAAAACTCTTGACATACATTTGGCGTGGACTTGCATCGTTCTTTCGCCTTTAAAGTAAGAGATCCATGATATAGATTCGATAAGTGTCTCGATCTAAACAAAAATTAATTGCTTCACTCAACGGGCACATTTATGCTCGTACGAGACCTTTAGAGACTCGAATTAAAGCGACAACTAGATTAACCGGTATACGGCCATCGAATTTCACAGACGTGTTCGTTTGGACGACATTGAGTCGAGATTAGAGTTGTACATTCACGAACTGTATATCCGAGGTAAAAAAAAAAGAACACGAGTTAAAGAATCTGACCATTAAAAAGAAGCAACAAGATATATTCCAGTATTTACTATTTATTCGAATTTTATTTGTATTAAACGCTAACATTTAATATTTAATTTTTACTTGCGTTAAATGCAATACTAAACAGAACTTATGTAGCGATATTATTCAAACTCGTTATTTTTATACAACATTGATTAAAAGATATTGTTCATGAAATCAATTGACGTAATATCAATTATTAATTATAAACTTTTTATATATCATATTCTATTTGTTATTTTATAATTTACAATTTCTATACTTTATTACAATACGTATATATTTATTCACGATGATAATAGTTGTTATTTCAATTACAAATAATATTATCTATGATCTTTTTTTAATTTTAGTTCTCTAATTTGATAAATACTTTATTAAATACTTTATTAAAGCTAAATTATTTACTTATTAAAAGTTATTGTGTTGTCATCAAAGTGAAATTAATACGTTGCTAGCTTTTTATTAAACTATACATATTAAACTATTACATAATCATCAATCAGCCGAACACGTGTAACTCTTATTACCGAGGACGATGTATAACCTTTAAATATCTCGTTTGTGCACATACAGGTTCGAATTGAATTTCAGGCAAGCACGAGGAAAAGCGATGCACATAATATCTCGAAAGCTTGGATGGTCGATCGGCTCGTAACATCATCGGCGAGTTCACGACATCGGGAAAGCATCGTGTCGTAAAAATATCCGTTCGCCATCGTCCTAACATCGATAACGGCGAACAGAACATCCGCGATGTTGCGGGTTCTATATAGCGGTGGCATAATACGGCAACATCACAACGGCGACGGTGCACTTAGAGCCCCACACCGGCCACGTACATATAGGTATCGAGGTAAATGCAATTAGGACACAGAAAGTGAAGTAAGCACACGTATGCGTGCGTGCGTGCGTGCGTACGTGCGTGCGATTCCGGGTTTTCTGCGCGGCGAGATAGACATGCCAATTTTTACCGCGACGCAATACGGTGAATATATATACGTTATTTACGTGCGCACTAACGCTGAACTATCACTTTATATGCGAAAATAGATGTAGTTATGTACAAGGATAATCGGAAACGCTTTTAATAAATCGTAGGAAGCCAATCAGCGTTCACAAATAAAATGCTGCAGTATTTATAACGAATTATAAATATTTAAATATAATTGCAAATAAAAAAATATATAAATATTTCGAATTTATTTATGTTTTCTTCCTACGTCTTTCTCCCTCTTTCTTTTTTAATTTCGATAAATACATTTATTAAAGTTGAATTATTTAACGTTACGTTGTATCAAAACAAAATTAATATGTTAATTAATACATTAATTATTAAATGAAAAATCAAGTTAATTTTTTAAAAAATTTCTAGATTAACACATGCTTGCTTTAAACTATAAATACAATGAAATAAAATTAAAGAGATATATAATCTAACGCAAAATGATAAAAAATTTAATAGCGTAAAATTTTTATCAAAGGAAAAAATTTTAATTACTACCTTATGTTTTAAAATATAATATGAAATTTCTTATAACGCGTTGCTGTAAAAATACTTCGAATGAACTCGCACTGGAACACCGATCGATGCTTTTCGTTTAATATAAATATTCGAAGGTTGTGTGCATAATTAGGAACGCAAAGGTCAAAAGCTGCGGTCATCATCGTGCATCACCGAAGATTTCGATGGCTATGCATCCCCGAGAACTTATCCAGCCACGATCGATAGTTTAAATTCGCTCATTATATAATAGTTACGAGCATCCGTGCGCAATAATTCGCATTGTTTCGCACTCTTCGCTCGACCAAACCCTCGTCGCTCGCATCTTACCGCCTCAACGACATGGATTTTCATTTGGCATTTGCGATGGACTTTGCAGTGCGGTAATTAAGGCCAAGATAACATCCCGCCAACGCATGTCGTGCTAGCAAGACACCCCTTGGGAAACTGTATTAAAACTTGCGAGTTTTTCTTAGCTCAACTCTCTCTCTCTCTCTCTCTTTCAACAAAAACATAACGCTTAATTCTCTTTAAGAGATCTATAACAATGTTCTCTCGATCAAATCAATCAAATTTATAAAATATAAATGTAATACCAAATAACTATATAATAGAAAATTATACAGAAGTCGATCTCTCAAGCATAAAGACAATATCTAAAATTAAGCTACAGTGAGACACAAAGGATAAATATAATAAAATAACTTTTTTAATTTAATTTTTCTTAATTAAAAAAAAAATAATATAGAAATAATATAAAAATGAAAGCAAGTATAAAACAGAATAGATAATAAAATAATAACTGATTTAATTCTTTGGTGGATTATATTTCCCTGAAGTACAACATTAATTGCAAAAACGGTAATTATTATAAGAATCGATAACTTTCATCGATATTTCCCCTCGGAATAAAATGATGCGTTTGCATAATCACGAATAGTACTTTACCGTGTACCTACGAGCAGCGCATGGGAATAATTGCAGTAATTTTCATTATTGCGCGTCGACAATATGTACACGACAGAAATGCTATATAAGGATGGAGAATTTCGCACGACACGTAAGCGCGTACATCGCGTCCCGTTTAAGCACACAGCCTAGCATCATCAACGTTAAGAATTTCATAATCAAGTTTTCCACGGTATTTAGAGCATAATTTACGCATGACGCATGTTCAATGAGATTTCCGACATTTCCATCGTATTATGGATTTTCACAGTGAAAAACAAATAACTACGAAATTAACTGAAAGATACAAACGCAAAGACCATGCGGGTCTTTTATTTATAATAAGCACGTTGTGTAATTAACGTGATATAATTTTGAGATAAAAGATTTGTATACATTACTATTCATAGAAACTATTATTTATATAAGTTATTTTTGTATAATTATTATTTACATAAATTATTGTTATTTATAGAAAATAATATTAATTTTCATTCATTTGAAAAATGTACGCTTAGTAACAGTGTTATATACTATTTTTTTACACTCATGTTTATTCAAGTAAAAACAAGTGGGACATCGATATTTGTGCATATGTCCATAATACATACATAATTTACTATTACGTTATATCTTTAGACTAATATCTAAAACTTTGTAAATGCCTTCCTGCTTGGATGAAATTCTTTATACTCTTAATACTCATAATTTGAACAATCACTCAATCAAATACTACGATCTCATTTCATTAACGTAAACGACCATTATTGATTTGACAAGTATGTTTCTTTCAATTAACAATTAACCGTCAATTCGCCACAGTCTCGCTGCGAATAAACTTTAGCATTGAGAGCAACCATGCTTCTCTGCTCGTCATTTCAAGATTAAACATGACAGCGTGATAATGCTGCGGCTGCAGTTGATACGAAAATTCTCCGCATATAGCATGCTGGACCAAATGATAACTCGCATCAACCGATTGTCAAGAGCTTAATTCTTTCAAAAATGTTCTACTAAATGAATCTCAGTAAATCCTTCAAAACACATTAAATGCGGAGATCCGATCACGTTCAAAGTGAAAAAAAAGTGTATTCACCTGTTAATGTAAAATATGTGTATTTCTACATAGAAAAATCAATTTTGAAGTATCTAAAAATTTAGCTAGATACATATTTGAAAATAATTATGTTTGAATCAAAATAATTATGTAGAACTCAAACTGGAATGTTAAAATTTTTTGCAGCATTATCGCGATCAAACGTTCATAATTATTTTGATAATTTAAAATTATTTTCGAATCTGTATCTAGCTAAATTTTTCTATATTTCAGCAAAGCTGTTCTTTTCGTGTATTGCATAATTCTCTGAGATTCTCTCTCTCTCTCTCTCTCTCTCTCTCTCTCTCTCTCTCTCTCTCTCTCTCGTGTTTTATTTTACGCATACCAAGCTCTTAGATTTCAATCCTCGAATTCTGAAAGTTTCATGGATCGCGCAAGATTCTCCAATAATAAAATTCCCATACGTACGTCGAACATTCTCGAGGAATGCCAAAAATTTCAACATAAAGATAATTCAAGCAAAGACATAATAACATTTTGATGCAAAGATAAAATATTTACGTAGTAACAATTAATCTGCGTTTCAAATCTCAAGTTTCGGAACGCATCCGGCATGTTTACTTACTTACCCGATTGTATTAACTGTTACGGAGTACATCGTGGTGATACTGGCTGAGTTATGCGAACATGAGTTTCCCGACGACATGTAATTGCATTAAAACACCTCGTGTAACGCAGGGACGAATCGCGCTGGTAATTATAAAAGTTCGCGACATCTAAGTAGCAATACATCGCCGGTAATTGGCGTAATGTAGCCTGATATACGAGCGTCATCGTAATGTAGTCTGATATACGAACGATTAAACTTTCAACAGTGCTCCACATAATGAATACGTCATATCGGCGGATCGTGCGCGCTACACCAAATCGTTAACGCGATACTCCCTTTAACGCTCTTTGTAAGTACTAATCGATAGCGTAATAAACGCGTAAAGCGTCTCGTCATCTAACCAAATGAGAACAGCTAATTAGAATAATCAGAGCTCCAGATACAATTTCGCGATGGATGAATCGAATTTCAAATGCGCAAAGTCTAGTATACTACAAATATAGACATCCATTAAAATACTGAAAAAAAAACTAAATTTTAATAAATATTCGTTTGAATAGTTCTAAATAAATATTTACTAAATGTAAATACATATTTATCTGATACATTAATTTGATTAAACTATCATTTTTTTATTAAGCAAATATTCGTTTGAATAGAACTAAGTAAACATTTACTTACAGTAAATAAATATAAATATAAACATTCATTTACTGTAAGTAAATATTTACTTAGTTCTATTCAAATGAATATTTACTCAATAAAAAAATGATTGTTTAATCAAATTAATGTATCAAATAAATATGTATTTACATTTAGTAAATGAATATTTATCATACTGTAAATAAATGTTTACTTAATTCTATTCAAAGAAGTATGTATTATATATAAGATTTAATAAATTTTTTCCAATGAAGAAATTGACGAATTCTTCGATAAATAGAAGAAATATGTGAGATGATTCTTTAGACAATAATTCCTTCTGTCAGCACTGCGTATTGATTTATTATTATTCAATATCAGAAAAAAAAATTCAATACGTCAAAAGTTATTTCGAGTGCTTTGCTTTCAAAGCTTAACTTTCCTTCGTAGACTAGTTATTCTACGGAAAAGATATTATTGATCCCATACAGCAAGAAGATCCATTGTCAAGTTACCGAGGAATAAGACGTTTTCATGACAAACGCTTACCTGATTCGCTTTGTTGATTTGCTTCTTGAGCCCGGCGAACGCCATGATGCTGTCGTGTCGTTGCCTGGATCAAACGTAAATCGTCCCGACCTGTAACAAAACGGAAACGAGACTGTCAGACAGGTTGCACGTGTGAATTCAACGAGAAAGAGAAACTCATATAGAAAAGAAGGATCGAAAAAGAGAGAAAAAGAGCGAACGTTGGAAAAATAGGACGAAAGTTTTGAATTTATGGTCGCTGGCTCCTCGCCAAGGCGAACGGGATGATTTTGAATATCTATCGATCGATCGTATGTCGTATTTTCCAGCATCATGACTCGTCGCTGATATAACTCGATTGTATCTCGTGTATGGTTCAGCCATACAGGTGTCGGGCGGAGGCAATGCCGATGGCCGCGAGTAAATAAGTCTTGTGGATCTCGTGGTGATCTCACACGCGTGAAATCTTAAGTCGTAACGTGCTGCCGACCTGACCTCTTAACAGGCTCTAATGAGAGTAAATAATGTGTGCTCTTATTAACGACGGACGACCTGCATCGATAGATTCTTCACGGGTGACTTCCAAGGCTTTTGGTACACGAAAAGAATGATTTTACTGAAGTATTTAAAAATTTCGCTGTATATAACTACAGATCTGAAAATAATTTTGTTGAACTGTCACAATAATTAAAACGCTTAAACATGATGAGCAAAAAATTTTGACATTCTAGCGTCAAAATTTGAGCGTCTTACATAATTATTTTGATGGTTCAATAAAATTTTATTTTCAGATCTGTAATTATTTTCAGTTAAATTTTTAGATACTTCCATCAAAACACTATTTTTTCTGTGTATGACGGGGAATAAAATAATGTCATCAAATTCAATGTACATAACTAAAAAATTTTATAACTTCCTAATGAAAACAAACGATCTATAACTGTTCAACAAAAAAACAACTTTTTCTCGAACTCGTTATTTTTATGATTTTGAATGCCGATTACGAATTCGTTTTTCAAATTGCGCCATCACGTCACAATTTTGGGAAATTTGGAATTAAATTTACAAAAAGAGTTATTTTCATAAATACGATATATCTGACATGCTGGAGTTTTATTGCAATCAAAATTAACCTTTAATTAGGTTAATTTAATCGTGAAGTCGCCGTGACCCCAAGTCATTTTATTTCACGGCGTTAGTATTTTCGCGCGACTAACTAAAGGTTAAGTATGTGTTTACTATGTTATTAGAACTTTCAATTTTCAAAGGATTTTTTTGTATCAACTATGGTTAATAATATTTGTAGTTAAATATGGAATCTTATATTGCGGAAAAGTTGTAAATTAGATTGACAATTTATCAAATAGGTTTCAGTTATATTTACTTAAAGAGTTTTTTCTAAAGTTTTTTAAGTTATTAAATTAATATTATTCCAATATCAAAATTGATGAATTTAAAACGATAGATTCAATGCAATGGATAGTAAAACTTGAAAAATAACCGAATTGTTGCAAAAATTTATGTTTAGAGACCTCCCATGATTTTTAATTTGTTAATTCTGACATCGGATTCATATTCGATGGTCTAAAAAAATTCTTAAGTTTAAATAAACACAATTAGAAGTTATTTAGTAAATCGTTTAGTAAATCGTTAATGATCTAATTTATATAACTCTTTCGCAATTTCTCGTATTTAACCATAAATATCTTATTGATCATAATAGCCAACACTAAAAATTTCTTTTGAAGGCTAAAAGTCTTATACAATATATTTAATTTTGATTGCAATAAAATTTTTGCAATATGTCACATATCGTAGTTACAATGTGACAAAATATGTGAAAATAATCCTTTTTATAATTTTAAGTGCAAATTTCTCAAAATTATAACGTGATGAAGCAATTTGGAAAACGGATTTGTATTCAGCATTCAAGAAATTACAGGAAATGACTAGTCTCGTGTTTTTTTTATCCAACAGTATAATTTATTTAAATCCATTGACTGTAAGTTATAGAATTATTTTATCATTTTATATAACCTGATCAATGAACGTATATCTGTAGTGGGAATCTTGTTAGAGCAAGTACAGCGTACTTATTAATGTAACTGCGTACATCGATTTTTCAGAAAAATACACGTACAGAAATGTCGCAATATAAATAAAGTGTACGCATTTTTAAAATTTATAAATAATAAATCTGGGATGATTTAACAATAACGAGTTATTGCGTCCTCTTAATAAAAGCAATATTGCAAGTCGATAAATTCATGTATATGGAGATGTCTAGTACAATACAGAAATTTTATTCGCAAAATCTAACGAATAAATCTATTAAAGGAAATTTGCTTGATTAATAATACGTGACACGTTGATGGCTCTTTTGTGCGAATTCTACATATCGAAATAGACATTTAATATGGAAAAGTTGTAGCAACGAAATATCTATAAATTTAGGTTTCAATAAAAGCAAATTGTTCATCAAGAAATTCCTCGCGCAACATTTCTCGTACTGACCTAAAAATTCAGTCCAACAAAATCTTATATAAATGTGATATGTTTAAATGCTAAATCTGTAACAATTAAACGCGAATGACATGTACCGCAAATAATAGACAAATTTCCAACAACATGATTCTTTTATAAAAAGTCTGAATAAATCCTAGAGTGTGAATTTCGCAAGGAAGTATACCTATCGAGCTAAAGAAGCTCTACAAGCAGGCGCAAAGAGTCTATAATTGACCCGAGTAGTCGGCGATTCCGATGAGCAAAGGTCGTCGGAACCTTATACGATTAATTAACCTCACGAAACTAGCCGAAGGCAAACTAAGTCGAAACTCTTTACATACACATTGCACTCGTAGTAAAAAATCACCGGCCGATAACTCTTTCTGAGTAATTCTTGTCAATAGCAGAATCGAGGTTTCCATTAATGTACCACCGACGGATTCTCTGAAGTGAATAAACGCTCTATTAATGAGAAGAGCCGCCGTTTGTACGGCGAACTTTTAGAATGGCACGCATTGACCGCAATATATCGTTAAAACTCTCTTAATAAGTGTATTAATAAATGCAATTTTTTTATTAATAAACAAGCATAGGGAGATTAAATTCATAATAATCGATGAGAGTTTTATTAAAGACACGAAGGTTCGATTGATCAGACCGGTATTACAACCGAAAGACTCTCGAGATAGATCGGTGAAGAGAAGGATACAAGATTTGGTAAGTGGGCGACTGGACGAGAAGATGGAGGATTATACTGACACAGTCCGATAACAATGGTTAATATCCCGATTTTCTTACGACACAATAATTTGATTATCAATGTGCTGACTGCACCATTAAGTATTAAGTGCCGTATTTGCACTCTTAAGTTAAATTCTTGCGTCTTAGTAGTAGAATTATATAGTAGTAATAAATAAACGAATGATAATAAAACACATAATATTGAAAGAGTAGATGGCAGTGCGGTACTGAATACTAAAATGTAGAGTCATAAAAGATAACAGCAGAATAATGAAATTTATCAGAATAATGAAATTTAAACAGAAATTTTATGTAGGAAAAGAAACGTAAGTGATAAGATTAGCTAAAACTGCAATAAAAATAAGGGAAACAAAAACAGGGAACTATAAAATGTAGCCAGAATAAATAGAAATATAACATAAAGGACTATAACGTAGATTGCGAATTGCGCGTGATCGAAAAGGATAAAAGTATATTATATATGGCAGGTAGCGCCGATGACAGCACAGAATATAGAGAGCTATAACATAGCTTTACAATAGGTAACTACAGTACAGTGCTATATCTAAATGGTAAAAATGAAATATAGTGAGGGACCGATTACAGGTAGGTATAGGTGGATGAAGACAATCACGTTAGTAGACTTCAACTTGAGACTACAACCCCGTTGCGAATTGTATTCGTCACTGAGCTCGCTATACCCAACAGCAATCTCGTCTCGTGTCAACCATAGTCCGCGAACGGGACGACACGTTCCAGAAGACCCGTGGTACGTCACACTGCACGCGATACCGAATTGCCAATACTCGACAATTCTCGTGCCGGGAGCAAAAGGAACGACTACGATAACAAAATACAACGCGATGGACAAGTGGTTCACGATGCAAAATGCAAGTTACGACAAGGACGTGTCTCACCTTTGAACGCTCAGCCCTCCGGCGCGAACCGAACACCCCCAAATGCTGTACGCCCTAGCGCACGCCGATGTGGACGGCGACGTGGACGACGTCGATGGATCACGTCGTCGATGAAAGAGACACGAGCGGATGCGTGGCCTCTACGTGCGTGAGGAACAGAAGGGAATCCGCGTGGGCCCACGAGCACCGCGAGTGAGCACCCCACTGACTACTCTCGTACGTGATCGGTCTCTCGCACACTGCGAAGTCTCCTGCTAGGGGGTAGTTTTCTGCTGGCCCGATCGATACGCGGCTCAGTTTCGCGATCTCTCTCGCTCGCATGCTCACTCTCCTCTGCCATTCCCTCCTCTTCCACTGGTACCCTCCTCATCTCTCCCCGCCTCGTTTCGATACCATTCCCTACCCTTTCTCTCGCGATAACCACCTCTTCCGTCAGGGACGGATCCAGGGAGGAACTGCACGAAGAGAATTAATTTTTTGTGTTTTCTGTAAAACGTTCTCCAGAAAGCTTAAAGTATTATCTCGCAACATGCGACAGATAAAATATCAAGAGTAAGGATAATCATGACTAGCTTCTTCTCGATTGAAGAACATAATTTTTTACATCAATTGCAATTCCTCCCATAAGTACTTTCCAAGAGCCACCTCTGTCTGCCCTTTCCCTAACGTCCTCTCTTCTCCTTCCACGTGCGCTGCAACCCTCGACTTTATTCGCGCGCCTTTGCTCCCTTTAACGTTTATATCGGGTGTCTGTAACAGCGAGGAGTTATTGTGGTATGTCGCTTACTTCTGGAATTCACGCACGCGCACAATAGGGACGAATAAAGTGAACAATGTTTGTCATTTCCTAGGACGAAACAATATAAATCCCTATCCTCATAAAGAAAATTTAATTTGACACAGTAGATTCTCTAACGTAAATAGAATAATACGAGGTCATGAACATAAAAGAGTATAAATAAAATTTCTTCAAATTATATTTCGTATTGTATAAAATATGAATGAAAAAACAGACGTGATGGTTTAATTTCTTTGCTATTAACAAATGGTTATTTTTATCAGCAAGTAAAAAAGTTTTTCTTTATATAATACAAACTAAAAGAAAAAGTGGAATAATAAATTTATAAATCGATATTTATGAATGGAACAAATTATGCATTTAAGATTTAATAAAATTTTAATACTTATATCATGTTTTAACATTAAGAAAATTGAAGGATATTTTTTTTGTATTTTTTACTTAACTTTAAGCTAAGAAAGAGTAGTAAATTATGATTCTATCAATTATATGTCAAAATTTTTGACATGTAATCTTTGACGTAAATCTAATTTAATCGAAGAGCAAAATTTTACTGCTGTTATATTCATGTGAAGGTATAGGATTTATTAATTAAAGTTTACATTAACATTTAATTATCGCCTGCTACAACTTTTCGTTCATACAGGTACATGAAAATCTTATATACTAAAATCTTTCATGAAACATCTGACAGACTCGTCTGTCCAATATCTCAGAAATGTATATTCTACAAATAGCGTAATTAACTTTCTTGATATTTCTCAAACATTTTTCCGGGTCATCAATCGCTTCGTATATTGTCTTTCTCCGAGGAAGAGCTTTCTCTATGATCGGATATAAAAAAGAACAAATGAGCCTCTCGAGAAAAAACGAGATTGAAAATAAAAGAGAGCAAACGAGCATAAGGCAAATCGATTTTGCAATTCATTAATATCGTCCCGTTAAAAGGAAATTTCTGCTTTCCTCTAACTGTGTGCGTAATACGGTCGTGATCTCAATAACGTATCAATTATAAATATAATCAGTCTCTCTCGAAATCGTTTGCAATACGATTTGTCGCGATCTCTCGAGCTGACAAGCTCTCTTTCCTTCCGCTTCTCGTACTCTTTTTTCTTTTGCACTAGTTATTCACTTCAGCCTTTCTATATTGGCGAGTAGACACTCATTTAAGAGTGTCATTTAAGAATACACGCGCGAGATATGTATATACTCACGAAGTAATTCTTTTTAATTTAAGACACGGATTCGAGAATCCCTTTGCAAAACCGTCGCCTCCACTATCGCATTTAATTTCCCAGAAGACACTTAATTACCGTTAGAAAGGGATGAACCGTTGAATCAAAACATTTTTTTTAATCACGTTTTCCGCAAAATACCCAAGAGCTAAGCCTATAGTAGTTTCTTGGAAATCAATTGTCAACAATACTGCGATATAAAGAAAGAGATTTGGTTCTTCTTATATTTTAACTTTTGCAAAGATCATAATCAATTCTGGCTTTAAAATACAATCATTTAAGTATACTGCTATTTATTTATACACAATTAATTATAATCGCTAAATACGATATGCGATTGTATACTCTATAAATAAATCGTAATATTGTAAGTAATTTGTGCGTTATAAAAAGTTTCTTTATTTTTATAATCATCATAATACAATAATTAATAATATTCAATATAAATATATAATATATAATATTAAAAATTTGTGAAAGACTAATAAAAGTACGTAGTGATATGTGATGCGCAAATTTATATTCAATAAAATACATTCAAAATTATATTACTCAATAAATCAAATTCCGGCTGATGAGATAATATTTTTCGCAATAATTCTTTACAGTGTTTTATATATATTCATTAGTATCAATTAATCTTGAATTGTTTGTCAATTTAATTGGAGACATTACGTATTTCAGTTTCAACCATAGAACTGTGTTTCAAGACCAACAAATAAATAAATCAATCAAATAAAAAATGCAGCTCAGAAAAAAATATTTTCTATTTGGCAAAAGATTTGATGTAGCACTGCAATTTGCAGAAACGATTTTTGGACGCTTACACATGTACATCGTTAACCCAAACGGATCTAAAAGCCGCTTTTCCACCTACGTTAAAGGTCTTATATGCTACAATAGTTTCACATTTTTTAATCACATCATTCTCGATATCATGTTATTCCCATAAGCGATCAAAATTGTTGATCCAAATATACAACGTTATTCACTAACAAATAATTATTTCATCTCCATATCCTTCTATTAAGGCACGCAATTAATCTTACGAGGAACCAATAATTCCTAATATGTAAGAGATACATTGCTTTAGATACATTGTATATATAGATGCGTTGTATTTGCCTGTATTTTGTTAATTATACAATAAAATAACATAAAAAATAACGAGCGTAATTTAATATTTCAGTAAAATATTAAATATAATTCATCAGTTATGTTGCACAAAAAATAAATATTATTGCAAATAATTTTATGCAATTTTATAACATACGATGTCATTATTTCCATGTATAATTGATACATTATATTGGAAATTCTTTTATGCTTTAACTTTTCGTAGAAATATGTAACATCTTCACTTTTTTCAATTTCATAGCAGATAATCCTTTTTCCATGCTTGCAAAGAAATACGTATCCCTTACTCTCAACTACTTTGCAATGTTCATTAGACTGGTAAACAATATTGCTCAGCTAGTTTCCATGTCCCGTAATAGATCAGTGAAATGGAATTTTTTAAAAAAGGCGAACGCTGATTCTGAGTCTGAGACGAGAAACTTTCTGTAAATACACGCGAAACTTGAGGGTCGTTGCTAAGAAACCTTTATCTCAAAGAGCACGTACGACTGGTCACGATACTGGTATTATTCCGTAAAAATCTTTTTCCTCCTGTGTTGTGATAGTATCGAAGTTTACTGTAACCGTCACGAATCATCCCCACAAAATATTTCTAAAAATACACATCGCAGCAGGAGGCGATCGCCATACGACTCGCATCCTTTGTCGCGTCATGCGTCTTATCATCGCATACTTTCTCGTTTAATCAATTCAGCGTGTGTAGCTTTGTTGTTCGAGATATACGAAAGTTGATAACTGCAGCATCCGACATTTTGTAAAATTTGTAACAGATTATCATTGTCTTTCATGTGATTCCCTAAAAGAACAAACTTTGCGTCTGTTAATACACTTTAATACGCTCAATATTTCAGAGGCTTACTCATACTTTATTTGTTTCATAATAAATCCGATTATTACTTATTCGATGCATGACTTATGGCCTTTTATGTAGCAAAATTCTTTATATTATGGAAAAATTATGTATTTGTCTCTTTCATTCTGTATGAGTTAGATTCCTACAATCTCATTATTTCAAATAGAGTAAAAAATGCTCATATTTTCTTAAAAATTAACATAATGTTATGGCTTATTTCGAGCTATAATTAAATTAACTTTAAATTAATATAATCAACAAACGTTTCAGCTTACAAAGCCTTCCTCAGTGTTACAACGCAGAAATACAATCTTAAATTAACCAACAATGAATAACGGATACAATGAAAATTTAAGAAACCATCAGTGGTGAAGTGTCAAAATATAAAAAAATTTCGAACGTCAACAAGTCCCGCCAGATGACAATAAAATAAGAATATTTGGATACTTCAGGCAACAGTAAGTTAATTATGTTCATCGATAAAATAAATTCGCCAAATTCCTCGATCGAGAATCCAGTTTGTCAGACTTGTATCAAACAATTTGAGAATTCATTACTTATGAGTATTTTATGATATATATTGATAATTTATATAGAATACTGTAAATTACATAGAATACTCTAAACTCTCAATCAAAGATCTGGTTAAGTATTAAAAATACTGACTGTTGCTCGTTTGAAAATTAACACTAATAAGCCATGACATTGTGCTCATTATTTCAGTTATAAAATATTACAAATAATAATATTACAAATTATTAAATTATTATATACAGAATTTAAAAAAAAAGACTTTCATGTTATTTTCAAAGAAATTCACAAGCATGGAATCTAATTAATTTATCTCAAGCAACTATATAAGAGATGATCATAATAAAAGTAAAAAATAAAATTCTGTTTGCTACCGATCCTTTTGACTGTTTTAAATCTGTAAAAAGAAATTTATGAAATGTATTTTTGTATCCTGCTCAATAATTATAAAATAATATACATGCAATATAATTTATGTACTCACACAGAATTCATGTAATTATATCATACTGTATATTACAAAAATATTATCTTCATCTAAATCTCTATTAAAAATCTGAGTTTATTATTCACGAAAATTTTGAGCATGACACATATCTCGCGAGCAGTGCAACAGAATTTATTAAAATCATTATACATAAAAAAATGTTTGTCATAATCGTAAAGCCTTAAATAAACTGACCAATTACAGTTAAAAGTATAGTTTTATGTTTTAGAATATCATGATTGGTCGATATGCTTATTTTACAACTGAAATGCGATTACGACTAAAATTTGTTTGCATG